CGGCTACTTAGGGGTATATATAATAGGTTACGCCCTTATTTAAATAGCTAGCTAGCTAATAAGTATAGAGCTTAGTTCTAGCTACCTAGGCTAATAAGCGCGGGAATAATAAGGCTAGTAGGGCTAGTATAATTAATAGGAAAGGGTAGGGTAAAGCTAGTAGTATAGGCTTAATAATATAGAAGCTATTAATTAAGTAACGCCGCGCTACGCTTAAAGGAGGGTATTATATAAGAGTCTTTAACTATTATAGGTTATAAGCTTAAGCTATAACTTAAGCTATATAGTTATATATAGAGGGCTAGATCTTATATATATATATATAGGCTAGCTATATATAGGAGAGCTTTATATAGCTTATTAATATTATCTTATAGATAGCACTTATATATATGCTTCTACTTACTTTATAATAGTCTATAAAGGTCTTTTTTAATACTAGTAGTTCCTCTTATAATATATTATATAGCGGCCTAAATAGTAAGGGAAGCTCCTTACTATTATCCCTTATATAAAGTAGTATTAAGTAGTCTACGCTTAGCTTATAAGGGTTTAACTTATTAGCCTTACTCTTTTAAAAGAGTAGTAGTAAGCTATAAAACTATAGTAGGATAGCTTACTATAGCTCCTCTTTTAATATAAAGTACTTTAGTTATAGTGCTTTCTTAATATCTATTAAGCTAACTATATAGATTAACGCTATAGCTATAGCTAGCCCCTTCTACTTATAGATTTACTATATTATACTTATAAATACTAAGGCTAAGACTTCTTAAGTATCTTATAAGTTAAGTAGGGCGTTTAGCGCTCCCTCCTTACTACTATACTAAACCTAGGACTATATAAGGCTAAACTATAGCTTCCCTTTATATAGTACTAAATATAACTTTATATATATTAACTATAGCTTCTTAAGAATTAAGGGAAACTTAAGCTAAGAGACTATATATATTACTAGTAGCCGCGGGAGGCCGTTAACCTTTATAGCTACTTAGGCGATACCTTTAATAACCGCGCCCTTTATTATATCTAAGGCGCCTTTTATACGCTTAAAGTAAATCTTCTTTACTAGTAAGTATAGCTTAAGGGTATTTACTTTATTAATTATAGCGTAATACTAATAGCCCTTATCTATAAAGGTAGAAAGGAGGTAAGTTTAGTTAATAATAACTAATATTAAAGTAGGTTCTTTTTTAATACGCTTTACTAAGTCCTTCTTAGCTAATATTAGCTTACTAAGCTTTAGGGCCTACCTTTATACTAAAGCTAAGCTTTTCCCTTTAATTTATATATAATAGAGGTTCCTTTATCTCCCTTATTATTAGATTTTAATAGGGCGCGGGTAACCTATATCTTTACTAGCTTCTTAACTAAGAGGTAAGGGTAAGACCTAACTATATATATACTTTTACTATAATATATATAGCGGCCTTCTTTATATTATTTATTAATTTCCTTATAAGGTAATTACTTAGCTATCTTATTAAACTATACTACTAGTAAAGTAGCTAGGGTCTTATAATTACTATACCCCTTAAAGCGTATAGCTACTATCCGGACGTCGCTATTTATATCGACTACTAACTTAAGAGCGGGCCTAGGTATAGATAGGTTAAGTAAGAAGGAACTATCTAGCTTATTAGTCCCGCTTAAGGCTAAGCGCTTATATAGCTTTTAAAAGCGCGGCGTTTACTTATATCCTTAGGCTACCTTTATAAGGTAGGATATATATCCCTTTTAAGTAAAGGGTATTATAATAAGGATAAGTAGCTCTTAGAGCGCTAAGGAGATCGAGTTCTATAGCTAAGTAAGCTTAGCGCTATTATCCTAAGCGGTATTACCCGCCGCCTAAGTTAAGGTCTCTTTAAATTCTAGTAAGAACTCTTTAAAAGACTACCCCTCTTACTAAGTAAGGGTCTATAGCTTATCCTATACTTTCTCTTATTCCTATATATTACCGAAGGTATAGACTAAGTAGTTAAAGAATACTTAAGGGTCTTTTATCTTTCTAGGACCGCCCTACTCTTAAAAGCTTACTACTTACTATATTTAAGGCTTTAATAGCGTATAAAAAAGTAAGAACTAAGCTATCTCCTTATAGCTATTAAGGCCCTATTTCTTATTAATATAGTATTTTACTATTAAGTAGTTAAGGAAGAAGTAAAAGGTCTCTAGCTTACTATCTTAGGTAGGCTAAGGTAGTAGCTTTTATTTACTAAGGACCGTCTTATACTCTAACCTCTTAGTAGTAGGGGGCGTATTTACTAAAGCTAGTATTAAAAGGGTATTAAGGATTTAATATAAGGTTACTCGTTAGTCTAGGTCTTATAATATTTAGTAGAATAGCTTTATAAATTAAGCTTATTTATCTTATTACTACTAAGCCTCTTTTTATAAGTATTACTAATATAGCTCTTTTACTTATTACTATAGCTATTAATACTAAGCTTCTTTTTATAGTAGCTACTACTACTACTACTACTTTAGCTAATACTACTAAGGTTTTAATATTAAGTTTAATATAAAGATAGCTTATATTATTATAAGGTAAGTAAAGGGCTATACTATAAGTACCTTTTATTATATTATAATAATAAGCTATATAGGATTTAACTATATACTACGCTTACTACTATTAAATATATATTTATATATATAGCCTACCTTACCTTATAACGCTATTAGCTAAGGTCTAGGCTAATATATAGACTTATACTAAGGGTAAATACCCTTATAAAAATACTAAACTATAAGAAAAAGTTAAAGTTAATAATAATTAAGAATATAAAGTAAAATAAATACTAAATATAAAAAAATAAGGTTAGTAATAAGAATACCTTATTAAGTAAAAGGGATATAAATTAAAGGAAAATACCTAGGAACTACTTAAGTACTTAACCTATTATAGTTCTTTACTTTAATAGTTTTATTAAGTAAACCCTTACTTAGAAATATAAGGTTATTAAGAATAGTATTTTAGTTTAATATATTTAAGGTATTAAATAATTAAACCTTACTAATAGTAATAGTTTCTTTATTTAATAAATAAACTAATCTATCTTAAAAAAATATATTCTACTATCTTTTTTATTAATAGCTTATATACCCTACTAAAATAACTTACTACCTTAGTTTTTTAAGAAAGACTTTTATTTCTTAATTTAAGCTAGGTAAGCTATTACTTTCTTTAATACTTCTTTTACTTTTTATTAATATAAATTAATCTCTTACTATTAATTTATAATATAATAAACTAAAAAGGAAGAAATATTAATAAAAAAATAATAAAGAAAGAAAGAGATAAAATAAATAAGTAAATACTATTTTTTTATATTATTACTTATATATAGCTTTTAGGGCTATAGTAAGGCTAATAAGGGCCCCCTCTTATCTTTTAAAGGTTTAGTAAAAGACCTCTCTTTCCCTCCTATAGTTTAAGTACCTTAAGATAAGGTGCTTAGCCGTATACCTTCCTTAGCTATAGTAGTAGTTATCTTAGTTTACTTTATTAGTCCTTTTTAAAAAGGAAAATAAAAAGCTAGCCTTAAAAAGGAGCTAGTAAAAAGCTAAGAGGGTTAGCCTAGGCCTCCTTATAAGGTCCTTTTTTAAGCTAAGAGCTAAGTAAGGGTCTTTTAAATAGATATATAGTATTTACCTAAGCCCTTAGCCTTAAGGCCTTTAGCCGACTTAGTAGTATAAAGTCCCTTTTAATAGTCCTTAGTAGCTTACTAAACCTTTCTTTATAAGTAGCTAATAAAGACTAAGGGGGTCCTTTAAGTAAGAGCCTATAAGCTTTTTTTAGCTAGCTAGTTAATAAGCTTATTACTAAAGATCCTTAGGTAGCTAGGGTACTAATATAGCTATATATTATAAAAGGCTTCTAAGCTAAATAAGAGCCTTTTAATATATATAGCTAGGTCTAAGAAACCTATAACCTTCTTTATAGTAGCTTAGCTATCTATAAAGATATAGGTATTTATAAGAAGGTTAAGGGGGCTAGGCCTTAAAGGCTAAGGCCTCTTAGCTAAGTCCTTTAAGACCCTTAGTATTATAAATAGCTCTATATTAGCTACTTTAATTAAGGGCCCTAGGTTCTTATAGTATACTTTAATAGGCTTGTTTTCTAAGCCTATTTTATAAAAGGAGTAAGCGTTAGTCTCTATAAGGGACCCCTTAAAGCACCCCTTAAAGCTATTAGTATAAAAAGCTAAGAGCTATAGCCTAAAGTCTTTTAAGCTGTCACGACCCTGGGCGCCGGCGTAGAGAGCCAGCGCAGAACCTCACCAGTGTCACGTGCCCAAGCAGCATCACGTGCCCACGCGCGACCTCGTGTCTATATAAGGGCCCGCTCGGTCGTGTAGTCTAGTCTTCCTTTCTTGCTCCTTAGCTTTGAGTCTTTGTTCATAGTGCCAATACATCTTTATAGCCGTCAAGGCTCGTATGTGCCTGGCCGTAACACTACTCAAAGCTCAATAAGATCGCTTGCCAGCGATTAAGCAAATAGGCACCGAGCTTTCACGTCACACGCGCCTGACGTAAATCCAGCGCATCCGTTCTGACCGTTCCGACCAAGACTCCGACCACCGACCAAGTGATCCTCAAGGCTGAGATCACGTCCGTTCCGACCAAGACTACGCGTGTGTGTAGCCGTCCGACCAACCGTTCCGACCAGGGATTCGTCCCGTCTGACCTCCGACCGTCCCTGCTCGTGCAGGCATCTGACCGTGATTCCGCGTGGTATCATTTCCGACACCTATCACCTCGCGACTATGATATCCGAGGAAGCCCTGCCTCTGATCAGCCTCGCCGTTCCACCCGGCTTGCTGGCCAAGCCACTGAATCCGAAATAGTAGCCATGGCTGCCCCGAGCCCCCAAGACGCTCTCATCCGCGAGATGAGGGAACAGATTGCGGCCTTAACGGCCCGTCTAAATGAACGCTCTCTGTCTGTTGAATCAAATCGACAGCACCGGGAGCCCTCGACTGCTTTTGCCGGCCCAAATGGCCCGGCCTTCCGACCAACAGGCAAAGCTGCCTGGCCTGTTTTGCCCCTTCCCAGAGGGCAAGAACCCCGAGTACAGCGACGCCGCCAAATCGCGCATCAAGGCCTCCGCGACGTTCTCAGGAAAGAAGGACGAGTTCCATTCCTTCATCCTGAGCATAAAGAACAAATTTGACGAAGACGTACGAACCTTCCGGACTGAGAACAGCCGGATGGTCTGTCTGTATAACCTGCTCGAGGGAAAAGCCCGCCGAGCACTTGAAACCCGCTTCTCCTCTGACACTCGACCCTTCTCTGGAGTGGCAGAGATGATCCAAGCCCTCGAGTCCGCCTATGGCAATCCGAATGAGCTTTCCGAGGCTCTTGACCGCCTGCAACGCCTCCAGTTTACCGTGAATGGGAAGACCGACATTGTGGACTTCCTTGCGGAATTTGACTACTTAACTGCGACCGGTCGTGTGCCCGAGGACCAGATGAAGCATACCTTGTGGCAGCACATCCCGGCCAACCTAGATAACAGCCTCTTGACCAAGACCCGTGACGAGTCCGTGACCTACGAGGTTTTCTGTGGGTTCATTAAGGACGCTGTCCACTGCCAGAAGAGGAGTATGAGGCAGACACAGGACTCCCGCTCTTCCGACCGATCTCGCCGCGCGCCGACTAAGACTGCTCCGACTACCGCCAAGACTCCGAACAAGACCGGCTCGACCCTATCACCTCGCGTGATGCTGGCAGAGCCTTGACCGACGATGAGAAAAGGGTCCATTGGGATAATGGCACCTGCTTTATTTGTGGAAAAACAGGGCACCTCTCTCGCGACTGTCCCGACCGCACCCATGCTGTCTCCCGTGTCGCCTCCGTCCCTGTCCCTGCCAACGACTCTGATCAAGATTCGGAAACGAATAGGACCATCACAAGACTCCTTGATGGTCCCTAAGGTGTCACAGATAGCGAGTAGGTCTAGCAAGTCATTCACTCTGCCAAGTCAAGTCCAAGTGGATGGTGTGAGCTTACCTGCCCGCTCCCTCTGTGATACCGGAGCCGAAACCCGTTTGCTGGTTAGCCCAACCTTCGCCCAGTCCGCCGCCCAAAGACTCGGAGCCCAGATTAAGGAGCTCCCGAGTCGGATTCCCCCAAGACTTCCGTGGAAAGCCAGCCGGCTATATCCAGAAACAGCTGGTCGCCACTTTCGTCATCGATGGCCGTTCGTTCGCAAACGAGACATTTGATATAGCTGAGTGTGGCCATGATATCTTTATCGGTCTTTTCTGGATGCGGGAGAAGCGCCTCCTGCTTGACTGCGCCGCCCGACAGATCATCTGGCCAGATGATCTTCCTGCCTCGCCAAGTTCTCCCCGACGATCCAGCTCTCTTCAAGCCCCGCTCTCGGGTCGGATCGACCCTAAGATCCAGGCCGACGCTGAGAGGCGGAACCGCCTGCTCGAGAAAGAGGAGAAACGCTACCGGATCCTCCACAAGAACTGGCGCCGCTCTGATCAAGCTCCTCCGGCCTCTGTCCCGACCCGTTACCGACTCCGTCTCCGTCGTTTCAGTCCAAGTCTCCGTCTGCCAAGAAGTCTGTCCGTTTTCAGCTCACGACCGCCCCTGCTACCGACTTCGTCTCCGTCGCCTCGGTCCAAGCCTCCGAAGATCAAGCCCTGATTAACGCCCTGGTCTGCCAAGTAGAGTCTCACGAGAGATTCGAACAGTGGAACGAACTCGAACCGTTGATGCCCCGGGATCCAGTCCAGCTCGAGCCAAGCTCCGGCCTTGACCAGACCGTCCCTAGTGCTCGAACCGTTGCTAAAGTCTCCCGGATCAGAAGACCTACCAGGGACAAAGCATTCCGTTCCTCAGGAGAAGACCCTGAGCATGTTGCTTGTGTCCGTAGTCGTCTACCGCCCCAGCTCACCCATCTAGAGGATTCTTCTCGAAGAAAGAGGCCCACACCCTACCTTCGAGCCGACCCGGTCACGATGTAGTCCTAGAGCTTGAGAAGCCTCTTTCGCCGACAGGACCCCATCGTACCGCACGCCCGTTAAGTATCTGCCTCTAGAGAAAGAGACTGTCGATCACCTCCGGAGATAGACTTCATCGAGCCCGATCCGAGTCCGCACGCCGCTTCTGTCCTCTTCGCTCCGAAACCGAACACGACCGCCCGCCGCTTCTGCATCGACTACCGTTGGATGAACGATCATCTTAAAAGTCGCATCACGCCCGCTCCGTCCCTCGAAGGTACTGCTTTGGTTGCCGTGAAGCTCAACGCTTCACGAAGATCGATGTGATCCAGGCCTTCCACCGTCTCCGCATGGACCCTGACTCGAGTATTTGACCGCCTTTCGCACCCGTTTCGGAACTTTCCGCTGGAAAGTCCTCCCGTTCGGTCTGAAGGTAGGTCCCGCCTGGTTCCAGCAGTTTATCAACGCGCAGCTTCACGATCTCCTCGACCGGTGCGCCAGCGCCTACGCAGATGACGTCCTGATCTACTCGGATAAAGAAGAAGACCACTGGAAAGACTGTCAAGAAGTGATCTGGCGACTCCATCAGGCCAACCTCCAGGAGACATCAAGAAGTCTAGATTTAACGTGACCAAGGTTGACTACCTCGGCGTTCTGCTTGAAGCCGGTGTGGGCCTTAGTGTCGACCCTCGGAAAGTTCGATCGATACAAGACTGGAAGTTTGAAGACCTCCGAGACCGCACCGCGATCCGATCATTCGTTGGCCTATGCAACTTCATCCGTGTTTTCTGCTACCACGCCTCCGGAGTGGCAGAACCCTTGAACCGGTTGCTTAAGAAGGATGTTGCCTTTGTGATGGGCCCGGAGCAACGCGAAGCATTTGATCAACTCAAGCGCCTGGCTATCGAAGCCCCGGTCCTCGCCTTCTTTAGACCAGAACTGCCGACCCGACTGGAGACCGATGCCTCCCGGAATGCCACAGCTGGTGTTCTATGGCAGGAACAGCCTGATCAGACCTGGAAGCCCGTTGGATTCTTCTCTAAGACCATGACCCCGGCCGAGCGAGCCTACCCAATCCAAGATCGAGAGCTCCTCGCCGTCGTACAGAGTCTAGAGCACTTCTACCCAGAGCTCTTAGGCCAGAAGTTCGATGTGATCACCGATCACGAAGCCTTAGTCCATTTCTCTACGAAGCGCCTGCTCTCGGTACGACAGATCAGATGGTCCGACTTTCTCGCCCAGTTCGACATCCGTTTCCTCTACCGCCCCGGTCGACTGAACGTAGTCGCCGATGCCCTCTCCAGGAAGACAGCGGAGCTCCCTACCGTAAAGGCCCGGGAAGCCGAGGAACGCACGGTGACCCTGATCCTCCGGAAAGGCTAGGCTTCGCGACCGACTCTCTAGACCCTACGGCCGCCGGCAACCTGCCCCTCAGAACTTTAGTCCCGAACCTAAGCCTACTAGACCATTAGTTCTGAGGGCCACGAGTGCCCTACAGACCCCAGAAGACCGAGGATACAGCAGACGCCCGATCAAGACCGCCCAGAACTAGACCCGAACTCGGTCCCGAAGGAGCCGAACTCGTTTCGTTGATCCGCCAAGAGAACCTCCTCCAAGACCTCGGTACCCATGGAACACACCTGGTCGTACCAGCCCAGACCTCAGACAAGCAGACGTTTCTTCAGACCGCGCTCATTCGCGAAGCCCACGAACCCCAGATCTTCGCTCACGCCGGACAGAACAAGGTGATCAAGCTGCTCCAACGAGACTTCTACTGGCCAAGGATGAAGGAGGATATCCGTCGTTATATTCGGAACTGCCACGACTGCCGCCGCAACAAAACCCTCGAGACAAGACCCTGGACTGCTCCATCCACTGCCCGTACCGACCTCTGTTTGGGAGCACGTCGAATGTGACGGGAAGGATATGCCGAAAGACCGTTACGGATATGACTATGTTTGGACCTTCGTCTGCAAGCTAAGCCGGATTATCGCCACGCTCCCAGGAAAGAAAAACGATACGGCAGAAGTCTTAGCTAGCCGCTACTTCCGCTACCTCTATCGTTTCTTCGGTATGCCCTCGTATGGATTTCTGACAACGCTGGACAGTTTATTTCTGCCTTCCTCGCAGAGATTAACCGGCTCACGGGAACGAAGCATCGTCATGGAAGCTCCTACACCCTCAGACCCAAGGGGTGTAGAAGTCAATACCTAGATCAAAAGCTACGATTCTACGTGACGAAGCATCAAGATAACTGGAGTTCCCTGCTGCCCGCCCTCGACTTCGCCCATAACTCGTCTTGGCACTCTTCCATCGACATGGCACCGTTAAAAGTAGCCCTAGGCCGAGATATCCGGAACCCCTGTCACTGCCCCGACTGACAAGACCGCTGCCACCGGACCCGCCGCCAGAGCTAGGGAACTTGTGCAGACCGCCCAGGAAACCCAGGAAGACGCCAGGAATGCTGCCACCGCCGCTCAAGAACGTCAGAAGGAACAGGCTAATAGGAAACGACGACCAACCGACTTTGCCATCGGTGACCGAGTTTTCTCAGCAGGAAAGGCTTCGCCACGAACGCTCCGACTACTCGGCTAGATAACCAATGGTCAGGTCCGTTCGTAATCCTGGAAGAACGCGGTCATAGCTACGTACTGCAGCTGCCCGAGTCGTACAAAATGAAGAACCTATTCCACGCCGACCGTCTTCGAAAAGCAGCCGATAACCCCTTGCCCCAGCAGATCCAGTCACCTCCGCCACCCGAGGAGATCAACGGAGAACCCGAGTGGGAGGTTGATCAAGTCCAGCAGTCTCGAGTAACCGGTAGGAGTCGACGACTGGAATACCAGGTCTTATGGAAGGGATGTGACCCTGATGAGACCTGGTACCCGGCTAGGAATTTCCGTAACGCACCAATGGCATTGAAGATTTTCCACGATGAACATCCGGACGCAGCAGGCCCACCCGTCAACCTGCAATACTGGATCGAATGTGCTGCAGCGGAGGAGGGCTGCGAGGAACGAGACGATGACGACACAGCAGAGAAAGCCGTGAAACCAAGAACCCGCCGCCACGACTGACTACCTTGATACGCATATCAAGGCCTTAGACGGGGGGTAGTGTCACGACCCTGGGCGCCGGCGTAGAGAGCCAGCGCAGAACCTCACCAGTGTCACGTGCCCAAGCAGCATCACGTGCCCACGCGCGACCTCGTGTCTATATAAGGGCCCGCTCGGTCGTGTAGTCTAGTCTTCCTTTCTTGCTCCTTAGCTTTGAGTCTTTGTTCATAGTGCCAATACATCTTTATAGCCGTCAAGGCTCGTATGTGCCTGGCCGTAACATAAGCTAGCTAAGCTAACTAAGAGGTATTAGTACTACTTCTTAACTAAGGGCTTAAGGGCCTATAAGGGCTCTTAGCTAGCTTTCCTTCTTTCTAAGTTATAATTAGGTTATATAAGAGCTACTAAGCCTTTAAGGAAGTAAAAGAGCTATATATATAGCTTAATATAGCTTAAGGCCCTTAAGTTAAAGCTTAAGTTAGTAAGGTCGTCTTATATAGCTAGGTTATAAGCTTACCTTATAAGGTAATTAAGTAAGAAGTATAGAGTTTAAAGGGTATAAGAGAAGTATACCCTTTTAAATTATACCTTTAGTAGCGGTAGGGCTACTTTAGCTTTTAAAGCCTTAATAAGGGATCCTTTAAAGGCTCCTAAGACCTTTAAAAGTACTTAGTTTTAAAGCCTTTAAAAAAGCTTTATTAAGCTCTTAAGAGTCTTAGGCCCCTTATA